TTTTTGAGGGCAGAGACGATATGGCTTTATCACTAGCACCTAAATAGCACAGTTCCTGGCAGTAAAAATTAGCTACTTTATGAACGGGAGAAATTTAGTATGACTTCTAGATTTTTAGCTTAGCTTGTTGGTGAAATAGTGCTTTTCATCTCTAAATTGGGTTGCAGAGGTTAGGAGACAATCAGAATCTTTAGCATTAGTTCTGGTGAAAGATAGTGGTTGTTTATATTAAAATTGCAGGAAATACTGAGAGAAGGGGAGGAAATATATTTAGATACATTGTTGTTGCTGTTATGTGCCATAAGTCCACCCAACTCATAGCAACCCCTCCTTGGGTTTCCGAGGCCATATCACTATGGAAGTGGATTGCCCCATCTTCCTTCCGAGGAGTGGCTGGTGGGTTTGAACCGCCAGCCTTCTGGTTAGCAGTCAAGTGCCTTAGGCACTATGCTACCAGAGCTCCTTAAGGAATAAATATATTGATATATTTAGGACTTAATGATAAATAAAGAGTGGGGAAGATGATGAGATAGATGATACCCACTGCCACTGAGTCAATTCTGACTCATAGTGACCCTACAGGACAGAGTAGAACTGGTCCCCCATAGGGTTCCCAAGGCTGCAAATCTTCACAGAAGCAGACTGCCTCATCTTTCTCCTGCAGAATGGCTGGTGGGTTCAAACCACAGACCTTTTGCTTAGCAGCCAAATGCATTAACCATTACACCCCAGAGCTCCTTCAGATAGATAGTGGTGGTGGTGGTGGTGGTAGTGTTAGGAGCCATTGAGTCGGCTCTGACTCATAGCAACCCTGTGTACAACAGAACGAAACACTGCCCGGCCCTGCACCATCCTCGCAATCCTTTCTACACTTGAGCCCATCATTGCAGCCACGGTGTCAACCCATCTTGTTGAGAGTAGATGGTGGCTAAAATAAAAAAAATATTACTATGTGGTGGTAAGGCAGAGAAATGATGTAGAAGTGACACTTGTAGTTTGTATTCTTCAGTAGGACAAGCTTTATCTTTGGGGTCTCTGTAATCAGTGGTATACAGTTCTTCATGTGCTGCATTTGGTTGTGAAGGGACTCTTTGTTAGCATTCATTATTGATGGCAGAAATGTTGAGTGGTTTTACATTATCATTATACTGATGAAAATATAATGAGAACTTAAAAGAGATGGAATTACATAAGGTGATAGCTGTGAAACCTTTTTCTAGTCATGTGGGGTTTGAGGCTTGGGAGAGGAACCCTTAGGAGGAATGGCACTAATGACGGAGAGCTTTTTTAAAAACAAATTTTAAATTTTAAAAATAAGAAATTATTAAATAACTTACCTGTTTATCCCGTGTTTCCTTTAGGCACAACCTAAACTGGCTATTTCAGTATCTAATTGTGGAGCTGTTTTGGTTAAGAATAGAAAATAGAACTTGTAATTCAACAATAAAATGACAACTAACCTAGTTTAAAAATGAGCAAAATATTTGAATAGAGATTTCTCAAAAAAAGATACACAAATAACTAGTAATCACATGAAAAGATGCTCAACATCATTAGTTGAGAAATGCATATCAAAACCATAATGAGATATCCCTTTACACCCACCAGAATGACTATAAAAAAGAAAAGACTACCAATGACAAGTATTGTTGAGGATGTGGAGAAATTGGAACCCACATACACGGATGGTGGAATGTAAAATGATGTAGCCACTTTGAAAGTGACAGTCTGGTAGTTCCTCAAAAAGTTAAACATTAGAAATACCATATATGACCCAGCAGGTTCTAGTCCTTGATATATATATCCAAGAGAATTTAAAACATATGTTCACACAAAAACTTATACAAGATTGTTCATAGCAGCATGACTCATAATAACTAAAAAGTGGGAACAACTCAACTGTCCCTCAACCTCTGAATGAAGAAAATTTAGTACAATAAAACCTGCAAAAGCTGGAACCTATATAAGATAGAAACCTGTCAGAGAAGGAAAACTCAATTATTTTTCTATTCTTGTTATTGTTGTGTGCTGTCGAGTCAGACTCAACTCATAGCGACCCCTCCTTGGGTTTTCAAAGCGGTATCACTACAGAAGTAGATTGCCCAACCTTCCTTCTGAGGAGTGGCTGGTGGGTTTGAACCACCAGCCTTCTGGTTAGCAGTCAACTGCCTTAGGCACTCTAAGAGAGAGTAATAGAAAAATGGTAAGATTGCATGCACCCTGTCAAAGGCATAAAACTTGTGAGATTGAAAAAACAAGGCAGTGCTGTCAAGTTCCAGCTCTGACAGGTTTTACTGTGTATTCAAACTCTGGAATATTACTCTACCATAAAAGGAATAGGAAAAAAACCTCATTGCCGTCAAGTCGATTCCAACTCTCAGTGACCCTAGGACAGAGTAGAACCATAGGGTTTCCAATGCTATAAATCTTTCCAGAAGTAGACCACCACATCCTTCTCCCATGGTGGCCTCTGCTGGTGGGCTTGAACCACTGACCTTTTTTGGTTAGCAGTCAAGCACTTAGCCACTGTGCCACCAGGTGTACAAAAGGAATGAAGTACTACAACAAGTATTAATCTTGAAAATATGCTAAGTCAAAGAAGCTAGACCCATATATTGTGTGATTCCATTTATATGAAATGTCCAGAATAGGCAAAACCATAGAGACAAAGCCAGGGGACCAGGGCAGCGTAGGGGGTTGAAAGTGACTGGTAAAGATTACAGGGTCTCTTTTGGGGTGATAGAAATGTTCTAGAATTAAATGGTGATGCTTACTGTGTGTGAGGTACACTGCTAAATATTATACTTTACTTTTGTAACAGTCTTACCAAGTCTGTCATCCTTATTGTTATGAAGAAATTGAGGTTTAAAAATCAGCAGGTCATCCAGATTCATTAGCTAGTATGCAGTGGAGCAGAAATTCAAATCAGGTCTTTTTGACTACAGATTGTGGCCTTCATCACTGTACTGTTTTGTCTCTCTGCTTATATCCATTCATGGACTATCCCTGATGCCTACTAGGACCTCTTACTAAGGAGATTGAAAAATAAGGTAGGATGTGGGGCAATAGAATGTGGACAGTTTATTTGTTTAGTTGTGTTTCTGGTGTCATTTTTTGTGGAACTGACACAGGAACTTCTGATGTATGTCAGATCCTTTTTGCACATAGTTAAGTGTTTGGTCTTGGCTAAAGAATAAAGTTACTCAAATTCGGTTGAACAGCAACCATAATCATAATGTAAAGTAGGAAACAGTTTTGTTTATGTAACCTGTTCAGATTCTCTATAGCATTTATGTCATGTTAGCCTTTTTGTAAAATTTTCTGTAGATTTCTACAACATCATGTTCCTTTGGTTCTCTTCCTGCCTTTCTGGTCATCCCTTAATCTCTGGTTTTCCCTAGCACCCTGTGCATATACCTGCTTAATGCTTACTGTATCATATTGAAATTAATTACTCATATGTCATTCTTCACAACTAGATAGTAAACTTTGTAAGAACAGAAAGTAGGTCTAATTCTTCCTTATAATCCTAGTGCCTAATGCAGCACTTGCAATGCAGCAGGTACATAGTGGTACCTGTTAAATTAAACTGTTAAGCATGGAAATGAAGACCTACACTTTGGTCTTTATTGCTTTTGCTTAAAGTCTGGCTAAGGAAAGGAGTCCTCTCATTTCTAATGTCTCTGTTCTAGCCTGTTCTGGCACTGCTATCAGAAGAACCTGTCATTCACGTTCCCCCACAGTCCTGTGCTTGACTGAACTTTAGACTTCTTTTCATGTGCACTGTGCACTAATTAAACTGATGTGTAGTAGATAACAAATCCTGCTCCATGCACCAACTTCATTCCATGGAAATCTCAGCTTCCCTTCCCTGTTGAGTTCAGACCCCAGCTGCCCGTCAGCCCTTTTCTCTGACTCTAACCACCTGGGGCTAGGTCACTGGGTACCAGCTGCAAGCTCTTGAGTCTGCGATTCCCTCCACTTTAGATCAGCCAGCCCTCACTACTCCTGGGGGTCCTAAAATTTACTCGAACAACTCTCAGAGCTACCATACCTGCAGTAACAGCTTTAATACAACAGCAGCAACAAAAAGATATAATAAATGAAATGCAAAAACAAATGCATAGGACAAGGTCTGGGAGAGGTCCCAGTATGGAGCTCTCCTGTCCCAAGGGGACAGATATGCTACCCTTCCAGGCGCAAATGTTTGCTCCTGCCTTCCAGGAAGCTCCATATGAGCCTCACCCCATGGCTACGATAGATTATACCATGCCTCCTGGGGCTTAGTCATCATTGGGTCCCCACTGGCCCCTCTTGGACTGGCCAGCCCCCACCCCTTAGCCTGAGGTGTTCACCCAGCTCAAAGAACCACCCAAGAGCAAAGGCCAGATTGCTTTTCACAAGGTGATTCCACAGCTTACAACTGGGCTACTTGCTATTCTCCTTTTGTGTATCTCTGTTCCTTTGCCCATATTGTGTCCTCTGCATGACCTTCACTTGTTAAAACCTTACCCGTTCTTCAGATGTCTAGTTTAAATGCTGGTTCTTCCATGAATCTCTCTTGATCTTCCTGCCTGTTCCCTTTAACCACCACTAAGTCACTTCCCTATTTGAACTCTTCATAGGACTATGATCACAGCACAGCATTTGAGATTGTTATTTTTATACCCTACTAAGTGGTAAATCCCTTGACAGCAAGGTTCCTGCTTTTGTTTTCTCTTCTGTTTCGCAGTAATTATTGCACTGAATATATAGAAATTGAATATAAACTCTTTCACTTTATAGCTTCAGGGAGACTGGTCAGAAGACTGTAGTCTTGTCAAAAATCCTTTCTCTGCATCGGCATACAAATAAATGCAGTCCATCCAGGAAATGATTTAGGCCTAAACTTTGTATTTATTCCTGGAACTTCAGTTTAGGAAAGAATTTTTTTTTCCAAATTTATATTTATTTTTAACATGTTTACTGTTCTTTGTATTGACTCTCCTCCTCCTTTTTAGGGCACTGTTTTTAATCTGGAGTCAGAAGAAGAGGAATACCCGGGAGTCATCGCAGAAGATAGCAATGACATTTACATCCTGCCCAGTGACAACTCTGGACAAGTCAGTCCTCCAGAGTCTCCAACTGTGACCACTTCTTGGCAGTCAGAGAGCTTACCTGTCTCACTGTCAGCCAGCCAGAGTTGGCACACAGAAAGCCTACCAGTGTCCCTAGGTCCTGAGTCCTGGCAGCAGATTGCAATGGATCCGGAAGAAGTCAAGAGCTTAGATAGCAATGGAGCTGGAGAGAAGAGTGAGAACAACTCTTCTAATTCTGACATCGTGCATGTAGAGAAGGAAGAAATCCCTGAGGGTGTGGAAGAGGCCGCTGTGGCTTCTGCAGGCCTGCTGGCCGGAGAGCTACAAGAAGTGTCCTCTGAAACCCCAGCTCCTTTGCTTCCACATATCACTGCCACTTCCCTGCTGGAGACAAGGGAACCTGGCACAGAAATGATTGCAGTGGAGAAAACCAGCCCTGCTACATCTTTATTTGTAGAGCTCGACGAAGAAGTGAAAGCAGCAACGATGGAACCTGGTAAACTGGAGAAGGCCGCGGCCCCTGCCCTGGAGCCCACAGAAACCCTGCTGAGCCAAGGGGAGAGAATTGTCAGGAAAGAGAGGCCGACAGAAGAGTCTTCCCTGGCTGGAGGAGAGAAGGCCGGCCCGTTGTCTGAGGGCAAGTCTATACTGCTGTTTGGAGGGGCTGCTGCTGTTGCCATCATAGCAGTGGCAGTTGGGATAACCCTGGTTCTGAGAAAGAAATAGCAGATTTTTCAGAAGAGGAAGAAGACAAAAAGGATCTACGTTTTAGTTGTATTGACTGGAATTTGAACCGCCGGCAGCTGATGGGACATTTGTGGAACACTCTGGGGTAATTGGGGGCTTCCACTAAACAAGGCAGTGGATTGAGCCACATTTTACGGCTTGAGGTTCATGGTTTTCTGATTATATGTTTCAAGGGTTTGGGCTCATGCTAGGTTCAGAATCTTATGAGTAAAGTACTCCCTCTAGAACAGGGTTTCTCAACCTTGGCATTACTGACATTTTGACAATTCTTTATTATAAGAGGCTGTCCTGTGCATTATAGAATATTTAGCAACATCCCTGGCCTCTACTCACTAGATGCCAGTAGCTCCCTTCCCCCTAGTTATGACAACCAAAAATGTCTCTAGACATTGCCAAATGTGCCCTGGGCGCAAAATTATCCCGTTGAGAGCTGCTGCTCTAGAGGGAGAGGGTTAGTTTAGGAGATTCCGGGTCAGAAATTCCTGAGCAAGAGGGCTTAGCTGTGGGCTCTTCAGCTACTGACTTGACAGCTGTTCATCCCTTTGGAGTTTCATCTATCCTGATGAATAGGCTGAATTTTGCAGCCACTCCTTTTAGGCTCTTCTCTTCCACACCTTTTTAGTCCTGTAGCATGAGGGTGTTTTCCCTTGTGTCTCAGCTGCCTCTCAGGTACTGCACTGCTCCTCTTTACCCCAGGTTCCTTTTGATGTCCTGTGGGAGTGCTTGCTCTGTACTTCTGCTCAGATTCACCTTGTAAAGATGCTGCCTTTAGGAATCTTTTAAAATATAATAAAGTGAATTAAAAACCAGAATAAAAGAGACCCAGGGTTCCCTGTCCATGAGTGCAAAGGGCAAACGACCCCAGCCTAGGAGAGACATTTGTTTAGAGAGGCAGGAGGATGGCCTAAATGACCTTTTGAGATCTCTTCCAGCCCTTTTGTCTGCAGTCACCCCACTTACCTTATGGTTACCTGCCAGACAGCAGCGTTTGTGTTGTTGGATGGTTGCTGTCTGTGACCCTGGGCTAGTATGTTTTTTCCCTAATCTGGCCTCAGTCCTACAACAGGACATCCAGCATCTCTGCAGGTCTCTTGCCATGTGGTAAGGATTTTCAGACTTGGGCTTACAGAACCATTTGAATCACAACTCTTATTAAATACAGAAGATCTAAGTATCATCAAAATAAAAAGTGAGAAAAGAGAGACTTCGGTTTCCAAAACTGAGGCTACCTTAAAATTCAGAATTCTGATTTGGCTTTCAGAGTTCAGGAACAGAGCCCTATTAGCCTGAACCCTTCACAGTCCAGATGCCACAGTGATTAAACCAGAATCATCCCAATCACCGTATATTGGTTGTGAGTCAGTATACTTTGCTCTCGTTTGGCTGACGCCATCCCCAAAGGACAGTTGGAGCTGGGTCCTTTCATGCCTGAGGATCAGGGCACACATGCTTGGTTCAAAAAGTCATCTCAGATTGGTCTTAGTAAATGTAACAAATTACTTTTTAGGTCTTGGAAATTTATAATAAAATTACATCACTTACCCTGATCACCCAAACTTGGTATTTTAATGTCTTGAAAGAATGTTCTTTCTTTTTGACATTTGTTTCACTTTTTCAAATGAAAATTTTCTTCCTAAAGCAATACTATTTAAAAGGTGGTCATAAAAGATATGAAGGTATGTTTGTCTGTTACAGCTCTATGATGCAGTTTATCTTTATGTTCTGAGTTTTAGTGTCCCATTTAAGGAGTGTTGGTTTTAAGGGTTTTGGTGCACCTTGGTGTTAATAGCTAGAGGTGAGGGGGAAAAGGGGGATTAGTGAAGTAAAGAATTTTTTTCCCATGGGTGTGTATTTTAACTGCTGTATTTGTGTTTGTATAGGTTAAGAGCTGAGAAAACTGGTATGTTATTTTCTTTTTCCTTTTAAAATAAAATATTTTCCTTCCAGTGTTGAACACTTTGAAACCCTGGATCTCAAATCCACTTACAGTTGCTGAGTGTACTGAAGCACTGATAGAAGCCAGGTTCATTTCTGAGTTGCTGAAAGGACATCTGCAGCTTAGGATCTTTGGGAATGTGTTCTCCACAAAAGGAAAGAATATAAAGAAGTGGGATACTGATATCAATGCTTGCTGCTTTATTTCCCCATCTAGTGAACATTACACCAAAATATTCTGGCCAGTTGTGTTTTGCTGAATAATGGTAAATAGATATCTTCTCCCCTGGCTTTCTCTAGACAGTCTTCCTAAAGCCAGTTGCTGTCGACTCCAACTCGTGGTGACCCTGTGTGTCAGCACAGAACTGTGCTATGGTTTTCAATGGCTCAATCTTTCAGAAGTAGACACTTCTGGGTGGACTCCAATCTCTGACCTTTCAGTCAGCAGCTGAATGTGTCAGCTGTTCTTCCTTAGCTTCCGAGTAATAGGGATATGCCAGTGTCCTCCTCCTTTCTTCATTTCCTTATCTTCTGTCTCCGGCAGGGGAAGAAGGGATCAGTACTAATGAGGACTGCTGCTTACAGCAGCTTCTGTTTTTTTGCTATTATATTTTAAAAAATTATTTCTTAACCCCCTCACCCGTTTTTTGGTGGAGGCTGGTAGTGGTAGGAGGCCATTTCTTCTTGCACCCTCATTTATATAGCATCTAAATCTAAGGTAAAGGGAAGATACAGAATAAATCCAACTCGTTTATGGAACTCGAATGTCAGAATTAAGAATTTCATTTCCTGTTTATTCCTCATTCTCTGAACTATTGAGGAAGAGTTTCTGTTAAGCTCTCTAGAACTCTTCTTAACTGCTCTATTGAATGTAGTGATTTCTGATCATTTGGCAAAAAGCCAGTGGCCTTTTGAGAAAAGTACCAGAATTAAGGAATGCCACTTTCTGGTGTATCCTCTCTGTACTAAAGTGGTAGCATTCGGGGCCTACAGAAATCAGTCAGTGCCTACCGTGTGCCTTAGGGGGCTCTCCTGACCAGTGGGGAGAGACCTTTCTAATAAAGAAGTGCAACTGTTAATCTATTGGTTTCCACATTCCTCACACACAGGCAATCCTGATGCCTTCTCTTGCCTGTATTTCTGTACTTTCTCTTAAGTCAGATGTTAAGTACTACCTAAGCTTGTCTTGAAGGGGCATAAACAGTGAACTCAGAAACAAAGCTACCATTCATTTCCTATGGAAATTCATCTCAGCCTTTGTGCTAATTTCCTCTACTAATATGAAAGTAATGATTGCTCTTTGCCTTTTCTCTAAAGGCATGTGATGTGGACAATTATAGCACAGAATTCCTTCACTTACTTTGAGATGTTTTCTAGAAATGAAAGGTGGATTATGGGTAAGAATTTTGTTTCCTTCTCTTTATCGTGTCTTTTCACACAAAGAATTTGAGGTGGTGAACACATTAATTGTGGGCTATCTGATCATTTATAGAAAGAACTTAAAGCCACCGGACTAATTCATCCACAGGCATTATCTCAGTTAGTCTAAACAACACCCTTGATGCCTGCAAAGTGCTTCCTCTTGCCTGGAATAACAAGATCTGGTCTGTCATTAGTGATAACTTCCTGTTAAACTACTCATCACTAAGAAGGTTCAGCTGAGATTGGTTTGAGTATGGTTAATTTTTTTTTTTTCCATATTAGAATACAGGCAGTCCCTGGGTTATGAATATACATAGAACATCCAATTTAGAACTACTACTTCTTACTTTTTTTCAGGGTGTCTGTACTGGTTCCGTTCAGTTTGACCCCCTGCTGAGTATCCGCATTTCCACCCCAGATGAACGTGTTGGAAGCCCTGGTAAATCTGCCCTCAGTTTAAAATGGGTAGGAGCTCTGGTGGTGCAGTGGTTAAGGCTGCTAACCAGAAGGTTGGCAGTTTGTACCCACCAGCTGCTCCTTGGAAGAAAGAGGAGACAGTCTGTTCCCATAAGGATTTAAACCAAACTCACTGCCATCAAGTAGATTCCGACTCATAGTGACCCCTATTTGGTTTCCGAGGTGGTAAATCTTTATGGAAGTAGAGTGCTGTACAGCCCTGGGAAACCCAGTGGGAGTTGCTGTGAGTCAGAATCACTCAATGGCAGTGAGTTTGGTATTGAAATAACTGCACCAACTTCTACTCAAAACAAATTCTTTATCACAGTCACTTCACTTGCTGCATGTACAGCTTTTAAATCATTGGAAAAGACTTCTCAAAAAACAGAAACAAACCCACTGCCATCAACTCGATTCTGACTCATAGCAACCCCCATTGCGTTTCCAAGGATGTAAATATTTACAAAAGTAGACTGCCTAATCTTTCTTCCACAGAGTGGCTGGCGGGGGGAAAGGGGGGTTAAACCACCAGGCTTCTGGTTAGCAGTCAAATGCCTTTAACCACTACACCACCAGAGGCCCTTGGAAAGGCTTCTGTTGTTGTTATGTGCCATCGAGTCAGACCCAACTCATAGTGACCCCTCCTTGGGTTTCCGAGGCAGTGTCACTACAGGAGTAGATTGCCCAACCTTCCTTCCGAGGAGCGGTTGGTGGGTTTGAACCAACAGTCTTCTGGTTAGCAGTCAAGTGCCTTAGGGACTATGCCACCAGAGCTCCCTGGAAAGGCTTCTAGCTAAGGCTAAATAAGAACCATATACGTCCTGAGTCACCTACAAATCTGACTTAAAGACACAGGAACTGCTCTCATTGGTCGACCTGAGACTGCCTGTACCCTTTCCCCAGTGGTCTTGTGTGTGGAGAGCTGTGCTTTTATCAGATACCAACTGGGCATTCGTGATCTACCAGGGACTCTGCTAGTTCCCATACTTTACTTCATTTTCATACCTCTAACAGCTTTTGATACTCCTTTTCTTCCTAGTTTACAGGTTGAAGAGACCTAATCATTATAGTTTAGTGACTTTTCCAGTCTTCCAGCACGAGAGGCTAGGCAATGATTTGAATTTTTTCTGACTCCAAGTCTACTGCTTTTTCCAGTTGTTACTAGT